AAAGAAAGAAAGAAAGAAAGAAAGAAAGAAAGAAAGAAAGAAAGAAAAAGTTTTTGGAGGGAAAGAGTAAACTAATTTAAATTTAAACCAAAATTAAATTGAAGAAAAATTAACTCCTGTTGATTCACTGAGCAGAATCATAAAATTTTAGACTCCAGCAGTCCAACAATCCACAGCAACGATAAATGTTACATTATGCTTTTGTATGCAGCAGAAAGATGGAAGCTTTGGAATCAGGAGATCTGTAGTACAAATCTTACCTCTGACAGTAGCTATGGGAGCGTGTGAGCCAGTTTCCTCAGCTGTAAAATGAAAATAATAATACCTGTAGCATCTCCCTTAGAAGGTTGTTGTAAGGATCAAATGAGATCATGCATGTAAAGTTCTATGCAAACCTGAAAGTGCTAATTAAAGGTCATTATCATTTCAGTGACATTTTATGACCATTCACCTCTGTGATCAATTTCTGCCACTTCTTGTTGCTTGTGCTGGCTGAGAACCAACTCCTAAGTTTTTGAAAGAACGAATTGTACCTAATGTTTATGGTTTGGTGCTAAAGTCCATTTCATAGTAATAAGATGTTTTGTTTTGTTTTTCCTGTTTTTAATATTCATAAGCCTGGCTGTTAAAGACTTTTAAAATTCCAGCTCATATAATGTGCACTTTCTCCAATTTATTTTTGTAAATCTTGAAATACAAAGCATTTAATAAAATTTAGATGGGGCAGGTAGGTGGTGCAGTGGATAGATCACAGGACTTGGAGTCAGGAGGAGGTGAATTCAAATCTAGCCTCAGACACTTGATACTTCCTAGCTGTGTGACCCTGGTCACTTAACCCCAAGTACCTCACAAAAAAAAAAATACTAGTAAAATTTAGAGTTGTAGATTTGGTCAACCAAGAAGTATTTATTAATCACCTGTTATGTGCCTTGGACTGTGCTGGATGCTAGGAATACAAATGTGAGAATGTCCTTGCCCTCCAAGAGCTTAAATTCTACGGGAATACAGTATGCTCACAGGTAAGCAAAAACAGTATAGAACCTGGACCTGTGGTTTCTTTAGGGTAGGGAACCTCTCTTTATCAGTGCAGGTTGCCAACTTCTTTGCAATTTATAGAAAGCTGCCTAGAACATGACTTGCCCACTTGTTAAGTGACTTCTGGAAACACAAGTCCACCATGCAGGGTCACACAGCCAGTGTGCTTCCGAGATCGGATTTAAATACAGGTATTCCTGACTTTGTTTGCCTTAATCCATTGCAAAAGGAAATGGCAAACCACCTCCACATCTTTTCCAAGAAAACTTCATGGACATTATGGTCAGAAGAGTCAGACTCAACAGAACAACAATAACAATTCCTGGCTCTGAGGCCAGCTAGTAGGCCTCCCTACTTTCATATATAAAGTGTGTGTGTGTATGTGTGTGTGTGTGTGTGTGTAGTTCAGTCGTTTCAGTCATACTCAACTCTTTGTAGCTCCGTTTGAGGTTTTCTTAGCAAAGAAACTGGAGTGGTTTGACATTTTCTTCTATATGTGTGTATGTGTGTGTGTGTGTATACACACATACATATATACATGCATACATGCATATATATCTATATAGTAAATAGAAAGTGATGATGTGGGAAAAGGACAGTAATTTGAACCAACTGGAGTGATCAGAGAAGGGCTCTTGAAGGTGCCACTCTTAGAGATAGAAGTGTCATTATCATAGATCATCATACATTTCAAAGAACATCTATTAAGTATATCCTCTGTGCAAGATACTACTAAGAGCTGGGTATGAAAAATGAAAAGAAGTAGAGGAGACAGATGAGGAAACTGAAACCCATAGGGATACAGGGGTGGGGAACCTTTGGCCTAGAGGCCACGTGTGGCCTTCTAGGTCCTTGAGTGAGGCCTTTTGACTGAGTCCAAGTTTTACAGAATAAATCCTTTTATTAAGGGAATTTGTTCAGTGAAGTTTGGGTGCAGTCAAAGGGCCCCACTTGAAGACCTAGAGGGCCATATGTGGTCTCGAGGCCACAGTTTCCTCACCCTGGATTAAACAGTTTGCCCAAGGTCACACAGTTATTGACAGAATGGGAAATCTAAAATTTCCATCTTCTGACTTTTATACTGATCCCTAAAATAAATATTCTTCATTTAATTTCTCTGGGCTTGTTTCTTCATCCACCGAATAAGGACATTGGTAATTACTACCTTTGAGATTTTGGACAAGCTACTTCATTTGCCTAATTGGAGATCACATCCTCTCTGGCAGTCCATTTCCTCATCTGTTAAGTGAAGGGTTGGGCTAGATGACCTCTAAGAACCCTTCCATCAGTAAATCCCTGATCTGGAAACTCAGATTCCATGCTGGTAAGCCAAACTTATTTTTAAATTGTGTATAAAGATTCTTACTAGAAATCACCAAGTCGGAAATTATGCATACATTTTCTGTCCTGCTCAGTCTTTGTCCATACACAATGTAAAGTATTTTTGCACTCCAAACATTGGGAACAAGTTGTTAGCACAAGGTACGAGGAGTATCTGCCCAGACTTTGAGAAAAAAAATGGGTGGGGAGTCTGGGCAGGGACCATCACTGCGTGGGGAGGGGAGATTAACCACACCCACTGCATAAAGGCAATTTAAAGAACTTTTCAACATGAAAAAAAAAATTAGTCCTCTGCTCTACTATGAAAACTGTTGATCCCCTAATATTTTCTAGTTCCCAAATAAAATAATCTCATTCCAATCTATGCAATCATTACATCTATGGATTTGTTTAAGAGGCAGCTAGGTGGTTGTAGCAGATAGAGAGCACAGGCCTTAGAGGAAGAGATCTGAGTCTGAATCCTCACTTAACCACTCTTAGTAGTTTTCTCATCTGTAAAATGGGAATATCAACAGTATCTGCTACTTCCCAGGGTTATTATAAGAGTCAAATAAGAAAATATATAGATAGATATTTATATATGTATAAATATATCTATTTCTAGATATGATATATCTATGTCTAATATATTGATAATAAAAATTTCACTTCGCCTTCTTTCTCTGTCTTCCCAGCAAACCCTTCATAGATCTACATAGATCAAACTTAAAAATACATTGTCCCTGACTTCATATAT